AAACATTATTATTCATTAAGAAATGGAGATCTAGAGTGATAACAACAAAGTTAGGTGACTTTTTCTAACTTTGAATGGTCTTTAGTAACTGGGGATGAAGGAAACATGGAGAAAATGGAAGAGGGGCCCGGTGAGCTCCCTGCCTTTCCTGAAAGAGAGGTTCTTGGGTGTGAACATGCCTATGGGGGAGGGGAGCAGCAAGTCTGGGAGATTCTGGGTCGGGGGAGTTGAGATGGGAGGAAACAAGCTTCAGGGGAGGAACTACGGAGTGTCAGGAACTTCGCCTACAGTATCCCTCAGATCTGACCTACGAGACATCTACGGTTTTCCTGGAGACTCAAAGAGGTCAATTACCTTTGTTTCAGATCAGACAGTGAATCACAGCGCAAACTTCCTAACTTATCAATATTAAGGACTTTATACAACAATTCACTGCTGACATCTCTACTTTCCAAGATTTTCGCAACCGGTCAAGAGAAAAGCCACACTTTTACTTCCTGCAACCTAGCAGATGATGTACTCCAAAGGGTCCTTTCACTGTAAGACAACCTCACACTGATTAAAACTCACTTTTCTATGCTTTCTTGGGCTTGAAGGAGATATCGGAAATCTCTAGGGCTCCCCCAGCCCTGCTACACACACGCACATGCATGCACACAGTGAGCTGAAGCTAAATTAAGGATGAAAGCACGGGTGAGCAGCTAGCCAGAACAAATGGGGGGGGGGTGGCGGGGAAGGGAAATTCTCCACGGTCAAATGCTTATGTCAGAAGGACCTTGAGGGTACTAAATCCTGAGCAATTTGCAAGGTAGAGATTCTGCATCTAAAAGCCCCAGCCACAAATCCTAGAAAGAGACCCCAGAAAAATCCTCTTGCTTCCTAATAGACGCAATAACCACTATTCTTAAGAAGAAAAAAAAAAAAAAAAAAAAAGAATTACTCCAATATGGCCAGAAACAAAAATGCTCCTTGGAAGTCATATTTATGTACATGTAATATCCAGACCTTTTTACTGGGCCTGGATGCCATACCATTGTCTATCGGACATCCTCTTCTGAATGTCCTGAGGCTCCCAGACTCAACAGATCCAATGATCTCCACTGCACCAACCACATCACTACCCTCTCCACGACCCGCTTTTCCTGGTCTCTTCCCTATTCAAGATAATTTCTTAAACCAGATCCTTAAAGGTCATCCTCTATTAGTCCTTTTCAGCCATAACCCACATGCAAAGCAGTCACCAGACTCTATTAATTCTCTCTTGTAGCTGTTATAATATCCCCTCTTGAACGTCACTTCCACCCTCCCCATGACTTCACTTCTCTCGCACGGTCTAGTGGGGATAGCAGAGAAGTGGTTCTCCTTTGCATCTAGCCCTAATTCCTCCGGATCTACTTTTGAAACTTCCATCACAAAAGATCTTCTAGGGGCGCGTGGGTGGCTCGGTCGGTTAAGCGTCCGACTTCAGCTCAGTCATGATCTCACAGTCCGTGAGTTCGAGCCCCGCATCGGGCTCTGGGCTGACGGCTCGGAGCCCGGAGCCTGCTTCGGATTCTGTGTCTCCCTCTCTCTCTGCCCCTCCCCTGCTCACGCTCTGTCTCTCTTCGTCTCAAAAATAAAAATAAGAAACGTTAAAAAAATGTATAAAAAAGATCTTCTGTATGCAATTTGCTCATTTCCATTTTAAAGCCCTCCAATAAGGCCGTGTCATTTACGAGACAAAAGTCAAACTCCTGGCAGGAGAGGTCCTTTGTAGTCTGGTGTCTCAACTCTTGTCATTCCTTCCTTCGCATTTCATGCTCCAATTTTGTAAAAGCTACTCTTTGTGCATCGGGGGCCTCTGAAGAGGCTTCTGCCGCTGCTCTCAGTCCCCTCAGCCGAACACTCTGCTGCCTGACAACGTTCTCTCATATTTCAAAGCACAGCTCCGATACTGTTTTCCACAGCAGGCATTCTGTGTCCCTGAGTTTCTGGGCAGAGACTGACTGAGTTTTCCGTCTTGTGCTTAAACTTCAGTTACTCCACCCACTTGGCAACACGGCAGTCTGTCATTAGAATGTCTGTCACCTTTGGTGCCTTTGGGGGCAGAGACTCTCCCAGTTCTCCCTGGGCTCCTCATACCCATCACGGGGTCGAGAATCCAGCAGATGATAAATAGTCTTCAGTGAATGAACGAAGGCAACACAAGTGAACGGGCAAACTGACTGCCACCCGGAAGTGGCACGCTTTCCCCTTTTCTTCTGCAGCGGTGACGTCCTTCGCCACATTAGAGGGCAGGAGGGAGACGGGATCAGGAAGACTAGCTTCTGGTTCTGTCTGGGTCGAGGATTTGCTTCAGTGGCATGGGGGCTTCTCTACCTGGTGGCCCCAATGGTGGGCAGCCTCTGCTCCTTCCTGTTGGCTAACTAGCGCCGAAGCGCAATTTTCAAAAAAGTTAAAAGTGTCTTTTGTGTACATAAAAGACGAACACGTTGGAGATATGATCCAACTCACTAACTAGCGAGGGAATTGGTTTTAAGAAAGATTTGAAAAATACGTATGCAGTAAGATACGCTGAAATGAATTTTCTTTTCTTAAAGTTTACTTTTGAGAGAGAGAGAGAGAGAGAGAGAGAGCGAGCAGGGGAGGGGCAGAGAGGGAGGGAGAGAGAGAATCCCAAGCAGGCTCCAGAATGTCAGCATAATCTGACACAGGGCTCAAACCCACTAACAATGAGATGATGACTTGAGCCGAAGTCAAGAGTCAGACACTTAACCGACTAAGTCCCCCAGACGACCCTATAACGAATTTATCTTATAGGGCTATGAAATGTAATGTTTGGGGTTGTCTCTTCTACAAGGCAGAAATCAATTATATTTATTTTTTTATTTTAGAAAGTGAGAGAGAGTACGAGCAGGGAAGGGGCAGAAGGAGAGAGAGAGAGAGAGAGAGAGAGAGAGAGAGAGAGAGGGAGAGAATGAATTCCTGACATGGGGCTCGATCCAACAACCCCAGAATCATGACCTGAGCTGAAATCAAGAGTCAGAAGCTCAACTGACTGAACCATCCAGGAGCCCCTCAATTAAATTTCTAAGAGGTAACATTTATTTGCATTGCTACAGAAAGGAACAATTTGCATTATTGCCATTTTTATACTATTTCTATCTTTACAGATTTATGGATAGCCTGGTCAGTGCCAAGTCAGAGGTGCTCACCCTCGTAAAATCAGCTGTCCTCCAGAGGATCTGCTAGACAATGTGAGTCACTGTATCGTAAAGACAATCGTCATTTCCAAGTCTTGGGTATTTGCTCTCTGTCATTAGCAAGATAACGCTACTACATTTCCCAAAGCAAAATGATACTCCGTGGACTGGACAAAGAATCCTTATGACGTATTAAAGACCTTGTAACTGAGAGGTCAAGTGGAGGTACAAAGTGGTACAGAGTGGGTACTTTGATTTTTCTCCACGCAATGATTTTAAAAGGCAGGGTTTTGTGGTGGTTAATAACACAGATTCTGGAGTCAAACTGACTGGCTTTGAATTTCAGCTCCAAGACCGTGTAGCCTCGGGCGAGTTGGGTTTACCTCTCGGTGCCTTGGTTTTTTCTTTTGAAACAAAAGAGGAAGACGGCATTTGCCTGGAGCTTGGGATGAAAGCAGTGAGGGGTGTGTGTGTGTGTGTGTGTGTGTGTGTGTGTGTGTGCGCGCGCGCGCGTGCATGCGCGCACATGCATCACTTAGAACAGTGCCTGGCACACGGTTCCCATTCTAAGGATTTGTTAAACAAAATTTAAAGATGCAGCACAAACAGAGGTAGAGGGAGGAAGGGTCCACCTGTAAATCTGTGGAGGCATTTGTCACGAGTGCCGCTGAGACTGAGAAGGGCACGCTCTTGGCTTTTACTCCAACACACTCATCTGTTAAGGGAAATGGCTGCCCCTGAATTACCTAAGGCCAAAGACAATCCAACCCAGATACCACTGTTTTCTTTTGATGTTAATCCCGTGGGGAGGTTTCTTCTTTTGAAGGATGTCCAGCGTGTAGTTTGCTGTGGGGAAATAACATTCCTTCTCAGAATGGCTTGACCCTGTGCCTTGCAAAGACAATGCCAGGATTATTATACTGAAAAAGCACTTACTAGAGAATGGATCTAAGCCCCGAAGGACAGAGAACTCCATCCCCATCTAGAATCGATCTGCTCCTCATATTTTCTGACCTCAGTTCCTCCCACTAATCAAAAGGGATCATCTGAGCTTAAATGGGATTCACTATTGCTTGGATCTTGCCATCAGCAGTGATGGTGTGCAAATAAATGGAAAGCTACAAGCATTCCACAAACCCGTATCATACGAACTGGAACTTTAACATGTGTATATGCAATCCAGAAATAGGGAAAGTGTGGGTCAAGGCAGCGAACAAAATCGACACTGGGCAGAACAAGCTACCAGCGTGACGTGCTCATCATGTATCTTGTTTTCTCAATGAATAAAAACCTTGAAAGAAGGTAACACTTTCTAATACTTTTTACTAAATTGGGGGCAGCTTAGATTTAATGCCTTGTCAAGGTGACACAGTAATTACGAGGCCCACATGGGGAGACTCGAGCCACAGTGGGAATCACAGGAGACCAGGAAGTTCCCATTACATCTTTTCTCTCCAGGCGCATGGTCGTACACTGGGCGTGCCCCTCGGGGTCACACGCAGTCCAGAGAATGCTTTCTTGCCTTGAGACCAGGGATTGAGGTAGCCTTAGATAAGTGGCCACGGCCAATATGACCTCTCCCATTTGCCACACTCCCATTCACACCTCACTCATGTAGAGACTCTTTATTTAGGAGTAGGTCCAAAACTATTTTCAAAATACAGTTTTTCATGAAAAAATTCCCAGGAACCAAATACTTTCTTTCAAAGTTTTTATTTGAGCAAAAGGAAAAAAAAAATACATATATATATATGTATATTTCAGATACGATTTAGAAAAGTCAACACTGACAACAGAATAAAATAACATTATCACCATAATTATATAATTTACTTATATATTACTTACATTAATTGTCATTTCCTGGTATATTCTGTTTTTACTCCAAAAGAATTAAAAAAATGTACTTGTTGAAACCTTCAATGGCCACAGAAACAAATTATTTCTTAATATTAGTTAAGGCAAAGAAATCATGATAATGTCTCAGTTGTGGGATGGTCAGGGACCAAGATAGTCTATGGCCCCTTGAAGGTGTCTGTTTTGAAGCTGAATAGCTGAATCAAGTAAATATTGACAGTGAGGGTTTTCAAAATCGAAAAATCTTATGCAATTTGTATGACCATTTACATGTATGATCGTTTATCTCTGGCCTATAGACTTTACCTTATTTTATGAAACGCACCAGCATGCACTGGTACTCTGGCCACAGAGCAAGTAAGCAATAAATTCTTATTTAACTGAAGTGAATGGACAAACATTACTAATTACACCCTTCCTAACAACCTAACTTGATATCGTGTTTCAGCCTTTTGGTGACACGATGGGATAGGACATCATATTCCGATACATGAGATCCTTGGAAGAAATAGTAGTGTCCTGAAAATGAAAACACATTGAATAGCTTAAATCCCCACTTGCATTTTTTAAAAAAAGAAGGTAACACACATCTGTGTTTTTACAGAATATCTATATTAGACCAGACTTATAGATGGTTTATATTAGACATTTGAGAATATAAACGTTGGGTCCTGGCACTGGGTATCCTGTCCCTGGATATGTGTTTATCATCATTTCACCAATAAGTATCTTCAGTAATTTTATTGACAAGATTGCTTGGTCTTAGAAACTGACTATTAAGAGGTCAGTTTTTGAAAAGTAACACTCCAGGTGGAGAACTCAGAGTGAGAGGGAAGACACTGGGCCCAGGCAGGGCACACGGAGGCCTTGATGGAGAAGGAAGACAGACAGGGGCATTGGCATAGAAGCCAAACGCCTTGGCCCAGCCAACAATTTGCTTAGGCTGACCTTGCCTGAGGATATTCCTCAACACAAACGCAAACAAGCTCAGTTTTTTTTTTTACCCCACCCTTAGCCCTGCTCCATGAAAACCCACAAAGGGTGGAGGGGGCTGCCAGGAAGGGAAAAAAAATGCAAGGCACAAATAAGTGTGTGAGTCCATTTTGCCCGAGACTTGCATGTGCTTACTTGCACAACTGCAAAGCTTGATGGGAACAGCAACTCCAGAGACTCAGACACATAGACGCGGCAACAACCATATGCTCCCACCTGCTAGACCACCCGAGAAATAAACTGTTGGTTCTAGCTCCCTCATTCTTCAAGCCTACCGATTCTCAACTAAGCGGACTATGAATTTTCTGTCCGTGGCCCTGTGGAGAGATTCAGGGTTCTGTTCTTTTCTGATTTGATTCCACATCCTCTGACCTTGGAGCCTTTATAATCTTCAGTGTTTTAAAAAGGGATTCCCATAATCTACTTACTGTTATTATAGTAGACTGCATCGATTTTAGGCCCAATGCCCGGAAAGGTTTTGGTAATGAATTTGGGATAACCGGGGTCCATGAGTTGTCTCCTCTCATCGTACCTGAGCAAAAAAACAATCAGTAGGACCTCCACTGAAAAATGGATTTCATGATGTAGACCTTGATATTTTATGACATGAACCACAAAACCCACCTATTCTCTCTTGAAAGGCTTTTTCTGAACAGGCTTAAACTGCGCTGATAAGAAGATCAAAGACCTAAGCAGTTCACTGATTTATTCCTAGTCCCCACAGGACTCGGACCCTAGGAGTCCCAATTTCTGGTCAAGAACTTCCCTCGCTCCTGCGCAAGGCTTTCACCAGGACCTGGTCTTGCGTTACAGAGCCAGACTGTCTAATTTCCTGTTAGGGAAGACCTTGCAGGATTTGCTGTCACTCAGAAGATGGTCTCCTCATTTTGTCTTCCTGGGTCCAAGGTTATAAAAAGGAATCTGAAAATACCCACACTCCCTAAAGAGAGTGTGTAAATTCTGGGTCTCGTACATTATACCACTATTTCCCAATGTGTCTGCACTATGATTAATAATGGAACATTTTATTTAAAGTGTTCCTTTAAAAAAAAAACACATCGTGTGCCATCTTACAAATCAGAATCCAGAAGTCCCGAGAACTGACCCAGGATGATAATTAACTATTCCAGACGTATGTTCTCTTGATCTCTCTTCTAGGAAGGTCAAGGATCCTTAGGAATTTAAATAGAAAAACTACCTACTGGAAAACCCCACTCCCTGCCCATTCCACAAATTTTAGGAGTCAAATAACCAATCATTAAAGCTCACCTCCAATATTGATTACCTACAAAGAAGTAGGTCTTATAGAGAAGTGGATTAAAAACAGCTGCATCAATTTTTTCCACAAAGTTAGGAAAGCCCAAAGAACGTACATTCTTGGGATAGAGTCGTTGTGGTCTTAAGTTGCTAATTACCCAATACTTATCATCTGTGAAGATAAAGAAAAAGAATACACTGGAGTCATATAAAAAGTCACAGAAACACTGACTCACTACAAACAACATCATTCTTTATCCATAGTTCTAAAACATACTGCTCTTTGTTCTTGAACATGATTTGTCTCCAGTGGTTCTGTATATTTTTCACAAGCATTGCGATTGATATTTGACAAACTTTTCCTGAAATGTTTACACATTACCTAGGTATTTAAGCTATTTTTGGCTCATAGTTCAGACTCACCATTAATTAGATCTGGGGTACCTTTTTCTATGTTTATAAAAATGAGTAGTATTTCCTTCATGTATTCTCTTCCTTGAAGTACACTCAATAGCAAACTAAACATGAGAGTTACCTTTAAAAAGAAAGACTTGATTTCTGTCTCCAATTTCATAAGCAGCTTGAATGCCAGATGGTAAGGTTGGCCAGAAAGAAGAAATTAAACTAATATTGCTCTTTGGACTCTCAGGATTCCTCCACCCAAAGTATCTGATGAAAAACATTTAAAACATGTTAAAAAATCACTGTAGACTCAAGAGCCATGAAATGTTCAGTGGGAATGACCTAAAACAATGCTGTTTTTCAATATTCTTACATTCTGTTCCATGAATGTCTCTCTAGGAGCACGAGGAAAGGACCTTAATCAAGTCTTTCATAATAACAATGATCTGAATGGGCAAACCACCATATGCAAGCTTTGATACTTCAAGGGATCTAGGTTTTCATCTGCATCCGCAATTCATTCACCAGTTTTGTAATCTAAATGAAGTTATTCAACCTAAATGTCCAGTTTTGGGATCTCAAGAATGGAGAATAACGAAACTGGAAATCATTTACAAGAAGAAAATTGGAAAAAAACCCCACAAATATGTGGAGACTGAGTAAGATGCTACTGAACAACCAATAAAGAATGAAGAAATCAAAAAAGGAATTAAAAATTGCCTTGAGACAAATGAAAATGAAAACATAACAGTCTAAACTCTTAGGGAAGCAGCAAAAGCAGTTCTAAGAGGGAAGTTTATAGCGATATAGGCGTACCTCAAAAAAAACAAGAGAAATCCCAAATAAACAATCTAACTTGACATCTAAAGGAACTAGAAAAAGAGCAAAGAGAGCCCAAAGCTAGTTAAAAGAAGGAAATAATAAAGATCAGAGTGGAAATACATGAAATAAAGACTGAGAAAAAATTTACAAGATCAATGAAAGTAAGATTTTGGCCTTTCAAAAGATAAACAAAATTGATAAGCCTTTATCCAGACTCACCAGAAAAAAAAAAAAAAAGAGGGCTCACATAAATACATTCGGAAATGAAAGGGAAGTTACAATGGATTCCAAAGAAATACAAACAATCACAAAAGGCTACTATTAACAATTATGTGTGAACAAACTGGACAACCAGAAGAAATGGATATAATCTCTCAGAAACATACAATCTTCCAAGATTGAATCAGAAAGAAATAGAAAATTTGAACAGATGCTACCAGAAATGAAATTGAGTAATCAAACGCTCTCAACAAACAAAACTCCAGGATCAGGCAGTTTCACAGGTGAATCCTGCCAAACAATGAAAGAAGACTTAATACCTACCCTTCTCAAATTATTCCAAAAAAAAAAAAAAAAAAAAAAGTGAAGGGGAAGGAATCTCCCAAACTCATTCTACAAGGCCAGCATTACTCTGATACCAAAATCAAACAAACGCACTACAAAAAAAGAAAATTACAGGCCGATATTCCTGATGAACGTAGATACAAAAATTCTCAACAAAATATTAGCAAGCCAAATTCAACAACACATCAAAAGGATCATATACCACCATCAAGTGGAATGTATTCCAAGGATGCAAGGATGGTTCAATATCCACAAATCATTGTAATACATCACATGAACAAAACGAAGGCTAAAAAGCATATGATCGTTTCAATAGCTGCAGAAAAATAATTGGACAAAATTTAACAGTGATTCATGAGAAAAACTCTCAACAAAATGGTTATAGAGGAAATATATGTCAACATAATAAAGGCCATGCATGGCAAACCCAGAGCTAGCATTATACTAAATGGTGAAAACAGAAAGCTTTTCCTTTACCATCAGGAACAAGACCATGAAGTTCACTATTATTGGAAGTCCTAGTCACAGAAATTAGGCAAGAAAAAAAAAAGGGAGACATCCAAATTGGAAAGGAAGAAGTAAAACTGTCACTATTTGCAGATGACATAATACTACCTATACAAAACCCTACAGACACCACCAAAAAACCAGTACAATAATAAGTGAACCTAGTAAAGATTCAGGATAAAAAACCAATACACAGAAATATGTTGTGTTTCTGTACATTAATAATAAACTATCAGAAGAAATTAATAGTACATTCCAATTTATAATTGTATCAAAAAAATAAAGTACTTCAGAATAAAATTTGCCAAGGAAGTGAAAGACCTGTACTCTGAAAACTTTTAAGATGCTAATGAAAGAACTGACGATGACACAAATAAATGGAAATCTATTCCATGCTTGTGGATTGCAAGAGGAAATATTACTAAAATATCCATACTATCCAAAGCAATTTACAGATTCAGTGAGATCTCTATCAAAATAGTTACATCACTTTTCACAGAACTAGAACAAAGACTCTTAAAATCTGTATGGAACCACAAAAGATCCTAAGTAGCCAAAGCAAACTGGAGAAAGAACAAAGCCGGAGGTAAAATGCTCCAGATTTCTACACAGCAAAATTAATCAAACCAGTATGGTGTTAGGACAACAGTCACAGAGATCAATAAACAGAACATAGGGCGCAGAAATAAACCCACACTTATATGGTCAATTAATTTATGACAAAGGAGCTGAGAACATACAACAGGGAAAGGACAGTCTCTTCAACAATTGGTGTCAGGAAAACTGGACAGCTACATGCAGAAGAATGAAACCAGACCACTTTCTTACACCACATACAGAAAAAAACTCAAAATGGATTTTTCTGTAGAACCTGAAACCATAACACTTCTAGAAGAAAACATAGGCAGTGAGCTCTTTGACACTAGCTTTAGAGATTTCTTTTTTTTTAATCTGTCCCCTCAGACAAGGACAACAAAAGCAAAAATACACAAGTGGGACTGCATCAAACTAAAAACCTTTTGTACAGTGAAGGAAACCATCAACAAAATGAAAAGGCAAACTATTTAACGGGAGACTCCTGCCGGAGATATATCCAATAAAATGTTAACATCCAAAATACATAAAGAACTCATACAACTTGATATTTAAAAAAAAATCAATCTGATAAAAAAAAAATAGAGGCCTGGCACAGATATTTTTCCAGAGAAGACCTACAGATAGCCAAGAGAGACGTGAATAGATGCTCAACACCACTAACTATCAGGAAATGCAAATAAAACCACAACGAGCTATGACCTTACTCCTGTCGAAATGACTGTCATCAAAAAGACAAGAAATAACATGTGGTGGTGAAGATGTGGAGAAAAGGAAGCCCTCAAGCACCGTTGGTGGGAATGCAGATTGGTGCAGCTACTCTGGAAAATAGTATGGAGCCTCTTTACAAAGTCAGTTATAAAAAAAAAAAAAATGCCATATGACCTACCAGCTCCACTTCTAAGTATTTATGCAAAGCACACAAAACGCTCATTAGAAAAGACATACGTACCCTTATGGTCATTGCGGCATGATTCACAATAGCCAAGATACAGAAGCGACTTAAATGTGCACTGATAGATGAATGGATAAAGAAGATGTGGTATGTATACAATGGAATACTGGCCATAAAAAAAGAATGAAATCTTGCCATTAGCGACAACAGGGGGGGCCTAGAGCATATCAGGCTAAGGGAAGGGAGTCAGGCAGAGAAAGAAACATCATGTGATTTCACTTAGATGTGGAGTCTACAAAACAACAAAAACAAATGAACAAACAAAACAGAAGAGAAGCAGACTCACAGATACAAACTGATGGCTGCCAGAGGGGAGTCAGTCAGGGGTAGACAAAATAGCTGGAGGGGATCCAGAGGCATAAACTTCGGTGATGAAATAAGTAAGACACAGACAGGTAACGTACAGCATAAGGAATACAGTCAATAATGTTGTAAGAACTTTAAGTGGTGACAGATGGTAACTAGACTTACTCTGGGGACCTTTGGTAATATACATAAATAGCCAATTACTGTGTTGAGCACCTGAAACTAATACGATGTTGTATGTCAATTACTCTTCCATTTAAAAAATGGAGAATATTCGTCCCATCCATCAAATACTAATTTTCTCCACTCCTCATACCTCCAATACCTGCTTCAATCTGTGCTCTAAGGCAGAAACCATTCTGTTATCCTGGAATTACTTTCTCTGTCATCAAGAATCAAGACTTTTAATAGGTACTGTCACACCTGTAGTCCCAGACTCAACCATTTTTACCTGTGATTAAAATAGCCTTGTTCCACTTCTTCCTGTCTTGTCTTTCCTCACCCCAGATTCATACTGTAAATCCTTTTTTTTTTTTTTTTTTTTACTTACAAATCTTATCATTAAACACAAATGCAACCACACCATTCTCTTCCTTCAAAACCTTCAGGCTGTCTACTTCCTACAGAATTCAGTCCAAGTCCCTCTTCATTTTCATCTACGTCATTCTCTATCATTTTCCACGATTCTCTGACCAAAAAAAAAAATAAATAAATCCAAGGACAGAGCCTCCCATATTGGCTAGAGGTAAGGAGGATTCTTCTACCTGTCTTTAAAGAAAATGATTTTATTTCCCACAGTAGTGGCAGCGTCAAGACTCAGACTGGGGTTGCAGGGGGCCGATTCTGTAGTGTCAGGATGTGATGGGGGTTGGCGCCTTTCTGGACCTCCTGAAAAATACATTTCAAGAAGCATTAGGGAAAAAAATCTGCATTTTAGCTGCTAAAGGGAAGAATCATTCTTTTACAACATTCACTTTTCGGGATGAGAAATGCATAAAAAGCAACTTAGGCTTCCTATAATATTCATAGGAAGCATATAATAAAGATCTTTCTCCCACGTGGTTGCAACATCATGGGAGGGGAAAAATCTGATCACTCCAGTTTTCCTGTTCCGGTCAGATTATTTCCCTGTGTGCCTTCGTCAAAGGCGATGGTATGTTGGACAGAAAGAACACGCTTGAGGCCAGAAGACTCAGAATGTGCCCCTGTCACTGGCATTAGCACACCGGGTCTCCGTGCTTTTCTGTAAAATGAAGATAATATCTGGGTGACCTACCTCACAGGGTTTTCAGGGGGCTCAAGAGAAAAGATCCATGTTAAAGTTTTTTCAGATGCAGATATTATGAGACTATTCATGAGAGTGAGTATCTTTGCGAAGCAAAATGGTAAAGCAATTCGACTCACCATAGAGAGACTGAATGCCACGTACGTCATCAGAAGAGAGGCGAAAGGTGTTGGGGTCAACGTAACTGTAAGTAGGGAACATTATGGCTTTTGGATCACTGGAATGGCCAAGACCCAAGGAATGGCCAAGCTCATGAACAGCAACTAGGAACAAGTTTGTGCCTAAGAGGAAATCAGAGGGGGGGAAAGAGCAGTGAAATATATTTGCTTCCAGAGGACAATGACACAACTGAAATCTGACACAATGAAAGGGACGCATTTGCGAATACTTTACTTATTTCCTTTCTCTCTTACATAAGGTTTTTTGATGTCAGCACTATTGACTTTATAGGCCAGATAATCCCTTGTTGTTAGGGCTGTCCTGTGTATCACAGATGTCTAGAAATCTCTGGGTCTGCCACATAAAATTCTTTCTTGTTTTTTAACGTTTATTCATTTTTGAGAGAGAGATAGAGAGCGTGAGCAAGGGAGGGGCAGAGAGAGGGGGACAGAATATCTGAAGCAGGTTCTGTGCTGACAGCAGAGAGCCCCTTGTGGAGCTCGAACCCACAAACCGCGAGATCATGACCTGAGCCAAAGTCGGACGCTTAGCCGACTGAGCCACCCAGGTGCCCTCGGGTTTGCCACTTAAATTCAAGTAGCATACTCCCTCCACTTTGACAACCAAAAATGTCTCTCCACACCATCAAATTTCCCGTTGGGGGCAAAAAGGATCACAGCAGCAGCTCACATGACATGTGTTCTGTCGCGAACACTTCTAGAATGTTGTCTTGTCGCTGTGTTTACTGGTTCTCACCACTTCTACAACATTCCCGTTCCATTCCGCAGGTATGCTTGATCAGACTTTAGTGGATATGGAAATGTCTTTACTAACCATCCTTTACTAAACCCAAAGAAAAGGCCAAATTAAGTTCCAGGTCCTCTGAGCCACCAAGGAATGTATCATACCCTGTCTGTTCCTTGCGAAACTCGAAAGGAAGCCAGCACTCAGTCTATTTACGGACGAGGACACAGTATCAGCAAGATTAATGGACCAAATTAAGGGCTTGAACCAAGAATCAAATCTAAATGTCTTGGCTCAAAAGCTCCTTTTTTTTACTATACATGACTCAAAATGAAGGCAAAGTCTATGCTTACAATGTAGACACGGTGACGTCACCAAGTTACAGTCTCACCTGTTCATTTTTTCTGTATGTTCTAGGGAGATGCACATTTGTAGGGAAGAGAGAAGGGTCGTCTCCTTTCTCTCACATTTCTCAGTTTTCAGAAGATTTGACTAGCTCCGGACTGTTATGATTTTTTTTTTTTAAATCTCTGTTCTACTCCCACGCCTTCATTTTTATCTTTCTTTTTCTACGGCACAACTGAAGCTCAGAAAAATAGATTTTCCCAGAGTCACACGCCATTTAGCTGCAGGGTGTGGCCAGTACCCAAGAGCGAGCATCTCTGGGGGGGTCTTCAGGAACACAGACCCCCTAAGCATTCCCTCTAACACTGGGCTGAGCAACTAACTCACTTCTCTCCAATAATGAGAAAGAACCAAAGACTCATTCTCTGCATTCTGCCTAAAACCGGGAAAAGTAAACAAAACCTATTACACTTTGACCTAAATCCTAAATTTATCCTAGTCTCCATCCCTGTAATGTGTTGCGCAGAAGACCACCACCGGTTCTTATCTCAAAATCCTGGGTGTCTGTCTGTCCTCTGTTTCCCACCCCATCGTGTGCTTTTTGTCTCAGTGCAAAACTCCTCTTCTCGATAAAGAACTTAATAAGCCTTGGGGCATGCATCAGACTAAAACAAACAGCCTTTCTGGTCTGTAAAAACATTGCCATCCGATGCATGTAGTATCGGCCAGAGAGAGGGGGATGCTGAGAGGAGCTCAATCTTGAAGACCTTCCTTCCAATCACTTCCCTCGTGAGTCAGTCATACAGCATAGAATTTCCCACAGAGAGATTAGGAAGGTTTGTGATAGGATGGTTTGAATTTTCCAGTGGGTAGTGATTCCTTCAAACAGGGGAGAGTAGTTGTTCCTCTTCCCCAACTGCCTGAGAGGGATGGTGAGTTACAGCCTCCTCCGTAAATACACACAAGGTATTGCTTTGTTCAAGGGTCAGCTGGGCAACCCAAAATTTCTATCCCGGAAGCTCAGGAGACTATGTGACCATATAACCTTGTGTTTTGCGACAGGCATTTCTAAACTTTCTATTATAGAACTTCATCTTTCTGCGCCACTAGAAACCTGAGGAAACGTCAGCATATGATGACATGTGTGGATGACCACGTACATGAGGACGGCTGTATGCCCAGGGTTGGCATCTGCTTTTGCTGGACTTCACGGACTGTGCCGTCAAGAACTGACCGCCTAAATGCTTTTACCTTCCCAAACTATGGCTTCTCAGCTTCCCGAGTTCACACTCCGGGTGAGCTTTTATTTTTGCCTACCTCTGTAGTTCGCAGTCCAGGTTTCAGCCTCGTCGAAATGTGTGTCTCCCCCAATACCGGGTCCGGGTCCGAAAGCATGGGCTATGGTTCCCCCTCTGCCGTCAAAAGGATTGAAGTCTCCATGAGCTTTTGAAAGAGTAAAGACAATTAGTCCTTCTTTACAGACAACAGGTCATGCCAATGAGACAGATGAAAGAAGTCCACCTCCTTTACCTCCAGAGGCAAATCCGATCATAATGTCAGCCTCTCCTGAGTGAATTTTCCTGAATTTCAGGGGAGTCACATCACTCCATACTTGAAAAGCTTTTTGGATGGCATAGTCAACATCTGCAGGCTTCATGTCAGGAGTGTAACTGTTGATTCTGTATGAGAGGGAGAGGGAGAGGGAGAGGGAGAGGGAGAGGGAGAGAAATATATGGGAACCATGTGTTAGTTCTTATTGTGACACCTCACTTCTGTCTGCATCGCTGGAGAAAGAATCACCTCGTAAACCGATACTCTGGATAACCAAACCCCACATCATTAACTACTAAAACATGTATCCTTGGACAGCTTCCTCCTGAAACAGAATCTAACTGGATTTCTTCTCATTTATGATTGATGGGTTTTCTCTGCGAAGGACTTACATTCATAGAAGCCTATGCCTTTTGTCCCCACTCCCAGACGTCTGGATTTATCCGCCTTGACTATCCTATAAAATGCTCTCTTGTCTCTTGTTTATCATAGATACAGCTTAATTCTCCTTTTATTTGAAGGCTTTCTACTCTGCTCTGGGTGGACAAGCCAAACAGTCCCTCTTTGAGCGAACAATCCCTCTTCCAGGAAGAACGAATTTTAACACAGGGATGGCGTTGACAATCGAGAGAGGCTTCTCACCTACTCTCAGACTTGGGGCTATATCTAAATGGTTCGGGCTTCTGGAAGTCAGACCTCAGGGAAAGGAGAAAACCGCCGCGATGTTACCTGTAGGTGAGAAAGCGTTTCCTCCACACTGGCCTCCCTGCCAGTGTCCTGAACTCGTGGACATCAGGAACCCCACATCGGGGCATGTGCATCATGTCCAGAGTAGAGGCGTCCAGTCTCCCAGTCACTTTCAGCCCCAAGAACTGCTGCATTTCCTGAAGTTTATTCTTCATCAAGTTCGGACCGACTTTCATTTTTGTCACTGGAACTCCATCCATGACAAAACCGTAAAAGGATGCCAGGTACCTCTGGAAAGATGTACTTCGTTAGATGCTCTACTTTAGTTAGACGCTCTACTACACGGAAAGGATTCTGAGGCACCTCTGTATATATGACTCAACGGTACACTGATGCTTCTGAACCAGGTATCAGACAATTAATTATAATGAGAAAAAAATCTTTATTTTCTGTGCCGTCAAGGTGAAGTCATAAACCATTAGCGATATTGACTGCTGGAAGCCCACTGAAAACACCTTGATGTCTCCCTACCTCTCTGAACGGGCTTCTATTTTTTTTAAATATATTTCATGGGGCGCCTGGGTGGCGCAGTCGGTTAAGCGTCCGACTTCAGCCAGGTCACGATCTCGCGGTCCGGGAGTTCGAGCCCCACGTCGGGCTCTGGGCGGATGGCTTGGAGCCTGGAGCCTGTTTCCGATTCTGTGTCTCCCTCTCTCTCTGCCCCTCCCCCGTTCATGCTCTGTCTCTCTCTGTCCCAAAAATAAATAAACGTTGAAAAAAAAATTAAAAAAAAATAAATAAAATATATTTCAGCATCTAGCACATCACAGCATCAAGTAAAGAGCAAGACCTTCATTGTCAGGATGCACAAATTATTAGTTTAAGTTGGGATAAAATTTTCCTGCTTACAAATCCAAAGCTCAACACAACGGACAACCACGACAAGTTCAAAGTGAAAAGAGTCTTGGAAAACGGGGAGAGCATCCAAACTCATAATTAGAGGAAAGAGACAGATGGAAAAAAAAAAATCCTGTTTTTTATTTTTAATTTTTTTTAACGTTTTTTTATTTTTGAGACAGAGAGAGACAGAGCATGAATGGGAGAGGGTCAGAGAGAGGGAGACACAGAATCTGAAACAGGCTCCAGGCTCCGAGCTGTCAGCACAGAGCCCGATGTGGGGCTCGAACTCATGGACCGTGAAATCATGACCTGAGCCGAAGTTGGCTGCTTAACCGACTGAGCCACTCAGGCACCCCAAAAAATCCTGTTTTTAAAAAAAAGCTCATGAAGAAACAGCTGGGATGACTGAAGGTAACAAGTCGTCTTGAAAGATCATGGTGGGCTGAAGCGGTTAAATAATGAAGCCACTGTTTAAACCTCAGATTGTTAAATGACATTAAACGATGATTGTAAAACACGGACCAGATGTACGACTCCAATTATTTTTTAACTAAAATTCTTTGGCCACAGCATTTTAGCAAAAGAAACAAAGTCACCCCCCAATTTTATAAAACTTTCAAAACCAGTACTTCTCCTACATTCGTCTGTGGCAAAGAAAAATACAGCGTTCAAAGCAAAGAGCCGCCTAAACCAGTTTGCAACTAGTCCGTGTCAAGAGAAAACTGGTCAATGTGATCAATTTTGAAGACAAAAGTCAGGCTTCGTAAATGCTGTGGGGTCAGTACTTACTTCAGCGAAGAGCACATCATTCTCCTCAGAGCCTGTGGAGTTAGTCAGAGGAACGGCTCCAGAGGCAGTGGCCTGTAGGACCAGCATCAACAGAGGAAACTTCATTCTCCACTTCTGAAGGGTTCTCCCCAACTAACCCAGTTCCTCCTCCGTGCAAAGTTCCTCAAATGTCCCTGCTTATATAGCCCTCAGGCCCTGTTCTGTGAATATGAAATCCTGAGTGACTCACAGTTGATATCATCCCTTGACTTATCTCAAAAACCCGCAAACACCAAGCACAGATATTTTTCTAGGACCAACAATGGGTCAAGTAGCACCGAACTCATGACTCAGGCAATTCAGAGTATATTTCCTCAAAATAAAGAGGCTCTATGAAATAAGGCATTATATGAGGACCACTAAGCACTACAATGTTACAGTAACTTAGAAACTTGGGTCTAGAAAGCTCAGTGTCTGAATTTTTGCTATAATAATTTCCTTTTATTTATTATAGGCAAAATAAGCTTTTTAAAAAACATGTAAAAAGTTGCATGCATAAAGGCCTTTTTTCTAACTTGGAAGAATCCTCTCCAAGCTGAGTCTAGCTCCCTAGAGAACTGTGATGTATGGAGACATCGTGTTGAACAAGGAAAGGTCTGTAACATCGCGATGCTTTGATGTTTTGTTCTGCGTGCCGGCTGTGGAGACAGATCCCAGAGGCGGATCCCCGTGCCTCCCTAACTGGCTGGAGTCAGCAGCTTACGGTCAACTGTGTAGGGGGAAACGTTTGCTCCCGGAATCGATCTCCCTCTCCGCTCAGCTCCCCCCTTTTCCCTTGATGTGGTTGCTCTGCTCGCACAGCATCTGCCTCTCGGTCAGTAGGGAATGCTCGAAGACGAGCATTAGATTCCATCTCAGAATCCAGGAATAAACCACGATGGTGGAAGCGTGAGCGGTGGGGCTGTCCCCCAATTCTGTGCGAACGGTCTGGTGTGGAGGGGTCGCATGACACTGGGTTAGGGTTCAGCCATTGCTGTCACCCACCTCCCAGTGGGTCCCCAGCACTTCCCTGAGGCTGATGCTCCGGGAAAACAAGGGATGTGTCTGCCCTACAGCCGGCATCCCACCTCCAACTCTGCCCTTTCAGGCGCTCTGATTTGACCTCTAGGATCTTCAGCTGTTTCGTCTGAAATGAGGCTGATAACCTTCACCTCCTTATGCTTTTGTGATGATTACACAAGACGGTGTATTATAAATACCAGCGCATAGTCGTATTATCCGTCTATAGTGGTATAGACGAATATTCATGTCCTTTCTCTCGGCCCAAAAGGAGAGCATCATGCACCTTCAGGGTGCACCCAGGTGAGGCTGTATGCCCCACGAAAACGAGGATCAAGCACAAGTGCTGGAAGGCAGTTCTGTCAGATACTGAACTTAAGAATCATTGGAGAAGCATGATGGTCTGTCTAGGAAGAGGCAGAACATGGGATTTAGAGCAAACATGGGAGGGGCTGGCTCTTTGGCCGCAGAGCGGTGCCCCATGAGGGCAGGGTCTGGCTGCGTTGTTCAGCCCTGTATTTCTGGTGCCTAAAACCACCTTGAGGTTAGTAGGTGCTCAAGAAATAGGTATGGAGCAATCTCGTTGGAGAATAGGGCCGGTAGAACAACAGTAGTGAACTGTCTTTGTGGGAGCCGTTGTTACACAGCACGTGTGCCCCTAAACCTCACTTGAAAGCACACGAGAACCCGTCATATTCCTAAGCAGGAAGGGGTCGGGTACGGGGAAGACTTTCAGGAAGTCTAGAAAGCGTAGGATGTAAAATACAAGGTAAAAGCCGCCCAACTACAAAGGAAGTGAAAAATGTCCTCACTGGAAGCTGTCTTTAAAAGCAAAAAACAAAACAAAACAAAAAAAACTGGGGTAGCTCGTGGCTTAGTAGGTTAAGTGTCCGACTTTAGCTCAGGTCATAATCTCACGGTTTGCGGGTTTGAGCGCCACATCAGGCTCTGCGCTGACAGCGTGGAGCCTGCTTGGGACTCTGTCTCTCTCTCCCTCTCTCTCTGCCCCTCCCCCACTTGCTCCCAATCTCTCTCAAAAATAAACAAACATTAAAAAAAAAAACAAAACCCTATACTCAAATTGTAATAGTTTCTGGTCTTGGCTTATCAAATGCCCCAAATGGGTTAAGTATGAGCGATAAGGGCCATTTGGGCAGCCATTGAATGTTACAGGGGGTGCGACCTTAGGTTCAGGGGTCAAGTCAACAAGCTTGAGAATCTGAGCTCATGTCACGATCTTTCACAATCACTGATCTCTTTAGGACTTAATGTCTTCGTTTGTGAAACTGGAATAAAAATAGCAGCTACCCGCAGAGTTGTTACCAGGATTACCTTAAATTACAGGGAAAAGTACTTAGTCTAATGCCTGACACACCTTATGGTTTCAGTGAGACTTCAGGAAGTCTTGCTTCCTTTACTGCACGCTTAGGCGAGACACTTAAAAGAGGGTGGTATTGGGGACGAGAAGGGAAATCACGTGCATGTCCAGACCTCCCTCCCACGTTAGGGTCACAAAAAGATGGTGATCCAGGCCCAGCCTGGGAGCTGAGGGTCCCAGCAAGCACATGGCTTCCAGGGGATGCACTGAGGGGGGTCAGAATCAAGGGCAACGCTCCCTGTAAAGAACAGTGTGTCTGGGGCGCCTGGGTGGCTCAGTTGGTTAAGCGTCCGACTTCGACTCAGGGCACGATCTCGCGGTCCGTGAGTTCGAGCCCCGCGTCGGGCTCTGGGCTGACGGCTCGGAGCCTGGAGCCTGTTTACGATTCTGTGTCTCCCTCTCTCTCTGCCCCTCCCCCGTTCATGCTCTGTCTCTCTCTGTCCCAAAAATAAATAAACGTTGAAAAAAAAATTAAAAAAAAAAAAAAAAAAAAGAACAGTGTGTCTACGCAAGTACAGAAAGTACCCCAGGTCGGAGACCCTCATAACGGGGACAACTTGCTGGAAAGACCTTCTTATTGAAAAGCAGATCCAACAGCACAAAGCTTCCCTATTACGCTGTTTCCCTCCTGAGCCAGATACCAGGACATTCTGAGGCATGTCCCCGATATAATCACCTTCAACTATTCGGGGCGTTGTCCCTAAGGATCTAGAGGCAAAGGGCAGTGTGGTCATCGGTGAGGACCAGGGAGGAGACACGTTCCCCAAATATAGAAAAAAATCCCCCAGCTGACCCTTTCACCAATTGCGGGGAGAAAACTTCGGCTAGTTAATCCTCTCCTTTTATGGATGAAAAACTGGGAGTCCAGAGAAAGGAAGTGAATTGCCTGAGGATGCATCAGGGAGGTCTCCTGACTGCCCTGACTTGTTGTTACAACAGCCATGGTTCTGTTACACCTCACGGGTTTTTCTGCAGAGTTCCGTCTTCCCGGGGTTATCTTACTACCACAAACCACTACGCGTGTCCCTGTGATGCCCTCAGTCCTTTCTGTTGAAGCCACGCTCTCCCCTTGGCTGCCGTGGGGCCCGGAAGAAGCAGACAGCCTGAGACGCCGCAGGGGATCTGGATGCCCAGCAAGGTGGCAGGCCCCGTCCGTCCCTGGAGAATCACCTCGGCACCCCTCCC